TTTTCTTTTATCAATTTTTGGCAGGACACCGGCATTTCCTTGCTCTCCATCCCCGCCCAGCAGAATGTCAACTGCATTAGAAAATGCCTACAATGGTTCCCTTCCCCGAAAATGTGCACACATTTGCTGAAGCTCGAATTTCCGGCACAGCAGGTCCGCCCACCAAAGTGCAACACTCGGCCAGAATTTTAACATATTCTGCCGTCACACCTGGATACCTGGAGACCTGGAGACCTGGGAACGTGGGAACTCGGCAAGCTGCTTTAATAAAGCCTTCAGCAGCAGACGAGCTGCAAGAAAGACAACAAAGCCAGCATCAAGAACCAGAGGAGGAGGTGGCACAGGACATGGTAGGTGCTCTCGTATCAACTCCTCGCCTGCACCTCACACTGCTTGCACGAGTACAGTGATTACAACCATGTCCGTCAGCGTGGAACACAGTTACATCAAAATGTATGAACCACTTTTCGCTGGAGGACAGTCACCACCACTCTTTCTAGAGCAGAAGGGTACGTTTTAAATTGAGATAATTAAGTTGCACTCGCCGAAAAAATCGCGGAAAAAAGGAAGGGTCACGTAAAAAAAAACAATACTTGAAATAAACCCATTTCGCGTTTAATTGGAAACAATTTATTCAACTTTTTGTGAGAACTTTTTAGCGCGGGTCCAATCAGTTTTATATGATCCAACTTCTAATCGAAGACAATAAACAGTAAACATGGTTCCGGTAGTAAAATTGAGAACTCAGTCTGAGGGGGAGGATGATTCGGGAGGCAAAGAAAAGGGTTTGAGCCGTTTAAGACTTGCCCACTGATTGCAGAGATGTCTCGTTCTGGGATCCGCCCCAATCGCCATTGTCCTGTGAAATTAAAAAAAAAACCCATATCGTAGAAAGAGAGACTTGCCATCAGCGCCACATCACCATCCACGACTTGGTCTATGATTAATAAAAGCAACTCTGGCAGTACATGGACCAGGACCCGGCATGTGGATGCAATTGTATTTGAATCTGCTCTCTGTGGGGGGTAGCCAGAGCCAGCAGCGCCACTCCATTCTCGCACTCGTTCATAATTTATTGTTGCAGATACCCGGACCCGGATCCAGACCCGCACCCGCACCCGGACCCTGACCAGAGCTCGAAGTCGACTCCGTCTCTTGGTCATGCTGGTAGCGCATATGTTCCGCCTGTTAACTTCCCTTTTTTTCAGAAAATGTTCTATTGAAATATTTGCAAATTACTGGAGTGTTGTCCTGACAACGACGTTGATGCCCTGGTCAGACAATGGACAATTTGCGCCACAGAATCAGGTATTTAAAATGTGCAAGGCAAGCCGCACTAGCTGGACAGATTTAAATATACATACACACATATGTATGTATGTATGGGATATCTGGCAGTCCGCAGGAGATAGAGCTGGAGCTGGAGATGCGGCTTGGGGTGGCGCTGGGGCTGAGGCTGGGGCTGGGGCTGGGCTGGGAGCCTGCTGCCGAAGCTGTCCATGGCCATAATTTATTGCACAGAGCTAGGTTATTTCGAGGAGTTGGACATGGAAACATGTCCTGCAAAGGAGGAGACGTACAACGTATCCTTTGTCCGTATCCTCTAGGCTGGGCGGGCCATTCATTCAACAAAATAAAGTTAGCTTCTAGTAATTGTCAACGACAGTTTGATGTTTTTCTGAAATATTACAAGTAAATTGTTTTGCTGCTGCTCCGAAGTTCTTGTTCCTTCAGCTCCTGTAGCTCCTGCAGCTCCTGCAGAGCAATGTAGATTTTCCATTACAAAATATATTCACTGCTGGTTCTTTATTGACAGTGTTGCAATTTGCTAAATTCGATTACCTCATGCATATGAAATGGCTGCTGTCCGGCCACTGGCTGCCTCCTCCGTTGATGTATGACCCGAGCTGGGGCCAGCTTCTCCAATGATTAATGATTCGCTCTCTACTGATTGTTGCCCGAGCAACAGAATTATGCTAAAAGTCCAGCTCTAGGGGAGAGGGAACGGACGGAACGGAACAATCCCCAATTAAGTATGCGGCAAGGTCAGAAACCAGAGCAAACTCAATTAATATAAGCGATGGCAAACAATCAACAAAACCACGACACTGCCGCTCTCCGATCTCCGCCCTCACCCATTCTTTTCATCTGCTGCCGCATTTCAATGACCATAAAACGCCGCTTTAAAGCCAGTCTCCAGCTCCTGGCATTCCCAGTGTCCTTGGTCAGCCGCTGTTTGCGGGAGCTATTGTGCGGAGCATGCCAGGGGAGGGGGAGTGCTGAGGTCGCCATTTCACTAATTAAGCAAATATTTGCTGGCTGCCCCACGGCCTCCGTTCCCATACCAGTCGCAAGTTATCTCGAAATTCGCACGACCGATGCTAGAAACCATTCACCGACCGACTTCCAGCAGGACATAAACAGAGTACCATAATAAAGACTAAGAATAATTCCATGTCAACACACTCATAAATAATGGACTGGCAAGACCACCGCAATGGCCATCATCATCATCAGCATCGTCAAATCCGAGTACTGGCCAGGTACAGACAAAGGCAGAGCCACCGAAGTATTTATCATAAGCACAGAAGTCTCCCAGGAAAGGTCTATGGAGAACTGCAAATACCCTCCCCACTCAATATTACAGGGTCACGCCTTGAAGGTTCTGCCCTTCAGTTTAAAGCTAAGGAATATTTAATTGTGCAGTGTTGAGTTCATTGTTCTCGAAATGAGCAGCAAACCCTGTACACGTCTGATAACGAACCAATTTCGAGGGCATCAGAAATTTGCGAAAGCATTTTTATAGACGACAAATTTATCAGTCCCACAAAATGAGTTTCACTGACAAAGTTTTCCCCTCTGTCCCTAGTCCCTGGTCCCCCGTTCTGACTCCTTCCCTCCTACCACCCACCCCCACCTGGCAACGATTTGTCATCTTTTAAATACAACAAAAACGCCAACAAAAACAGGAACTTTAGTGACTGCAGAGCAGCAGCAGCAGCAGCAGCAGAGACGGGACAAAGGACAAGGCAATAATGCGTCACAGCATAAATTTTATTTATTTTATAAGCGCCCAAAGCCCCGGCAAAGAGGTGGCCAGACTGCCAGAAAGAGCTGCTGCCGCACTGGAAGCCGGCGACAAGGACCCAATGCTCCCCGGTCCCAGCTCACGGCGATGGCTGGCAACTTTGTTGGTCTAATACCTGGGCATGCTTGGCCAACACTTTGTTGCCGTGGTGCGGTATTCAAAATAGGTTTTTAGTAGATCTCCGCCTCCACCTCCACCTCCACCACCGCCCTGACAATGCAGCAGCCAGAGTCACGCCAGCGTCACGCCACGCCACGGCACGCCCCCAGTTATGAATGGACAGTGCGCCCCTCGGATGACGGACCTCAGCCACACCCACTGCAGTCTGGCTGATATGAGCAGCGGCGCTGCCACTTCATGTCAGGCTTTGAGCGTAATTTTTCTCGGGAATATAACTTGAGGAGCTAGCCAGAAGAAGAAACGTCACTAAACGAGCTTCTTACGCTGTCCCTGGGACAAAAAGAGGTGCGGAGAAGCGGCTGGGGATGGGGAAGTGCCACTGATGCCGTGGCAACAACGCGCTTGTAAAAGTTGAAAGATTTGCATAAGTAATTTGACAAAATGTAGTTGACAGTAAAAAGCAGCGAGCCACACACTCACACACACACACACTCACAAACCACGCACACACACACATGTAAGGAGGAGAACTCCTCTCAAAAATGAGGGAAACGGAGGAAGTGCTGACAGTGGGCCAAGAGAGGTGGGACCACTGCAACCCAACTTGATGGAGCCATTTTTCTTACTTATACGCATGGACCCGAGCCCGGACCACATGACTGCCGCTGAGGAAACTGTATCATTAGCCGCATTGAGAAATGTGAGAAGAAAATTACAAAGATGGGAAAGAAAATACTAAAAAATCTCTTTAAAAGATAAGAAGACCAGAATTTTATATTGTTGTAACTTGGAAAAAGTTACAGGAAATCTACAGGAAAGCAACATTCTATGGTTCGAAATTTCGTTCTTCGTGGTCTCAGTCGTAATAAGTCTTGTTAGTCATATCACCATAAAGTTCCCCAAACAATGTCAGCAATCAAATCAGCCGTGTCAATGTGTGGCAAATAGAGAACGAAACGGCCGTGACGAAGCGGGGAATACCCTCCTCGAATTCTGCTTTAATGGCATCGATTCGTTCGAAGAATATTTTGTTTGTACTTTACTAGAAAAAATCATTAAATTGTATAGCTATTAGGATATTCCAACTTATACTACAGATCATCGCACAATATAACAAACTTGTTCAGTTCAATATAAATCAAAAGTCTTTGGCTCAAGCACCCATATTATACATATAAATATAGAACTATATATGGAATTTCTTTAAAAAGAAAACCCATAATTCCCTTTGCAAGGGTATGGAAAAGAGGAAAGTACAAATCATAAAGAGCACATCAATTTGGCGTAACGTGAAATGGAAGCCTGATATGCGGGCATCAATTTTATGCACTCTGACACCACAAAAACAGCGGTAATGCTAATGCCGTGTCGCGTCATAAAAAAACAGATATACTCCTTCCACTTCTTGCGGCGACAGAGGCAAAGACAGAGGTACGCAACAATAATAATAATATCGAAAAAGAAGGGAAAAAAATGTGTCTAAACAAATGCGACAAGCCGCAAAAGCTCTCATAAAAATGTATCTATGCATTTGGTGGCGATTGGCAGCGCAGCGTAAAGTGGTGGCAAGCTTTTCCTTACAATCTACGATGGGAGCTGCCACTAGTTTCCGGAGGACGCCGCTTATGGGCATGGGTGGGTGGGGAAGGCTGCCCAGCCATCCGTCCACGGCCCTGCTGCAACGGGTGAGCGGCTGGCTGGCTTGAGAGAGCGGCCCATTCGTTGGCAATACTCGGCTCACGCGACACGTGCGAGGTGCGTGCAAAGTTCCATATTGTATTGTGTATTGTGACAAAAGTTGAAACATTTTCCAGCATAAAACACAGAGGATAGAATACAATATAAAGAGATATACGAGGGAGACACCGACACCTAGCACACCACCACCGCCCCGTCAGCAGCTGCCAGAAAAGGTAAAAAGTAAGCCAAGAAATAATCGACATGTCTGTTAATTATTGTGAAAGTTTTCCGACACACGCTGCTGTCGTTCCTTTGGCTACAGTTCCAGCTCCAGCTCCTGCTCCTTTTTCTCCTTTTGCTGCGTTGGCTGTTCCGTTTGTTTGGCAGGAGGAGCGACAGCTGGCGGTGTCAGTGACAGGAGGTAGCCGATACTTTGCTTGTTAGCGAAATAAGAGGGATGTCATCGTTTCTATCTGCAAATGTGTCCGTATCTGAGGCAGGATCTTTTTCTCCCGGTGCTGGCCTAGTTGCGAATGTGTTCCTTGTCATAAAGACACGCACAAATCATGCTTAAACTCGGCTTGTTCCCACTCCCGTTCCCACTCCCGGACCTGCTCTTGGCTCTGGTTCATGTCCTTGGTGTCCTGACGTCCTGACGTCCTGGTGTCCTGCTCGCGTTGCCTTTTGCTTAACTCGCAATTTATGGTTAATCGATGTTGTCTTTGAACGTGACCTATTTGCTTTATTTGGTCGCACTGTCTTCTTTTGTTTTCCTGTGTACCATGGTCTCTGGTTTCAGTCCTGGTCCTGTGTCGCCATTATCCCTGCTTCGGCTCGACTGCGACACTCGCACTCAGCGTCCTGCTGACGTGTTAAATTGTCTTTTTGTTTACCCTTACCCTCCAATAAAGCCATAATTTATTTTTCATGTTCTATCGCAGTTCGTTATGCCTTCTGCTCTCCTTTTTGTTCCCGTTCCCCGTCTCCATCTCTCTTCCCTTTTTCTCTCCCCATCGTTAGATGGCATTCACTTTTTACTGACGTGGCGTATGGCCATATAATAAGGAGATATTCGTTCTGGCGAAATCGATACAACGACGCGTCGGCCACGACCTTGACCTACGGCAAGGATGCTGCAGTTTCCTACTAGTACGTTCTGCCGCTGCAGCTGTTGCCGGCAACATTTGTTGCCAGGACCCCGAAAAGCTTTTCAGTTCGTCAGTGACTAAAAGTGACTACAACTGCGTCCGAAAGCGTGACTAGATGGCGTGTCCAACGATTGAGGCGTACGTCCAACTAAGGACACTAAAGTCCCACCTGGGGCAGCTAATTAGAGCACTGTTCATTACTCAGAACCCATTAGTCAAAAGGGACTATCTAACGCGGTCATCAGCACTGGGGCAGAGAATCGCAGGGACTCTCCTCGTATATAGTACCATATACCATATACTATACACATATATATATATAACTAGGATGACTGAAAACTTTGGGGTTGTTTATGCACTCGGGCATATCAGTTATTCAAATCACATCAATCGATGTAATTTCCATGGCCCTGAAAGCCTGTCTCCCAACCGGGCTCAAGGCCTGATGACTATGCTAGTTTCTCTGTTGTAGAGTCTGGCTGTCTTTCTGAGCAACCGAATCAATGATATTGATTTGATAGACAAACATTGCTGCTCCGCTCACCTCTTTTTTGACAACTCAGGGCTTCCCACTGCCCTACTGGAGGACTGCTTTAGTCAATACATCAAGCAAATTAGAGAAATAAGTGCCAGGAACCTCGTCCTGATACTAGCTTTGTATTTTTTACGGCTTAAGTTTGTTATCGTCAGTAAATCGTATTCCCATCATTCATTGTTCGATTATTTATGCGAGTACATACATATGTACATATCATACATAGAACGTCTTGGAGCAGACAAAAGCTCATCGTTCCATATAGATGGAACTAGTATTATTAATATGATGTCATGCGTGAAATATTGAGGAGAGCGCACTCGCTTACACCTCCCCCACAAGCATTGAGAGCTAATCCAGCTAGTGGGACCTCAAGCCGTCACAGTTCATTGAGCCAAGTGCCAGCTGGTCAGAGTTCAGCCCACCCCAAGCCTTCCCCTCACAACATGTGTAATTCTTGATAGCTGGAGGGGAGATATCTCTATAGGTGGGACAGGGTTGACAGGGCCTAGTTCAGATTGGCTTTAAGCCTACTTTAAGGTCATTTTGATTTTTATGTACATCGTTTTTGAGAGCAATTAAGATGGTTGGATATTGCGGAATGAGGGCAAGCCTTCTCCTGCATTGAACCGTGAATTGTGGGGCATGCTCATACTCTTAGATGGCAGACAACTCACGAGTCATATTTGGATAGATTCATTTAAAATGCAAATAGACAAGGCAAATTACAAAGCGGCTTTGCTTCCAGATAGACCGTTAGCGGCGGCTTTACCTTCCGACTCTTGGCATAATTAAAAGCCGCCTTTGCCGCGCTTTGTGCAAAAGCAAATCAATTCCGGGCTGTAATAGCTCGCGGCTATGGCTGTCATGGGCGGCGAGCCTAGCAACGCCCATTGGATTGCCGAGAAGACTTGTTAAGCAGACAATTATTGTAGCAGCTTGGCACCAAAATTATACGAGTATATCAAACAAATTCACACATCGCCCGGGGCTCGTTGACAGCACCAGCACCAGCACCTAATCCAGCTCAGACCCAACAAAGAGAAGTGAAAGCTAATTAAGTCCACAGGAAAATAAAACGAAAAATTCGAGTTCGAGTAGTAGGCTTCTTTGAAGCAGTTTCGATCAAGCTAGTGTTGATTTTCCCTTTCCCAAATATTTAATTCCGACTCGTTCAGAAGTTCTCGTAAAGCCAGACAAATATTTATCAAAAATAAATTCAAATAAAATTCGAAACGAAATAGCCGTAAGATACTATCTGGAGCCTTTCATTTGCTTGTGATTTTTAACTGAAATTCTAATTAAACTACGATGGAGAGTAATGCAAAGGTGCACCGCTTTCTCCTATATAACCATCTTCTGAGAATATACTGAAATCGGTCATTTTCATACTTCTTGCAGATGCAACGCGAGAATGGCTTCACGAAGGAGGCCAACCTGCAGAACCTGGCTAAACGCGAGCTGGCCAACGGTCTCGACAAGGATCCAATTTACAAATTGCGCCTGCAGTGCTTCAGTCGTGGTGCCACTGGCATCTTGGGCCTGTCCAGGTGAGTGCTCCATCCAACCCAACCCCAACCCCAACCCCAACCCCTTCAATGGCATAACTTTCGGTTAGGTCCGACCCGTGGCTCAATTTTTCTACGCTTCTTGGGTGTGTGGTGCAAAGTCTTTTTATTGGTTTGTCTCTATACCCTTTCCACAATCAAAACTTTCGGAGTTACCCTAACTGCTCAGTAGTGTAGTTTCCTTCGTCGTCCACTATAGCCCTTTAGTCCTGGCACTGTTGTAACTTCAGATGTCTCTCTTTAAAATTAAATGAATTTTCTCTATGAACTCATCCAACGATAGCCAACACATCAATTAACTTGGTTCCACCTCCATCATCTCTGGTGTAGGGTATGTACGCTAAGCCAATTTATTATTATCCCTCCACACATGTGTCGGGGCGAGATATATTGTACATACATGCATATACGAGTATTCTGCTATATTCTTTTTTATTTTCCGTGGCTGGAGATGCTCTTGGAAAGCGCAACATGGCAGGGGGCATGGTGCCGGACCCTGTCCGGACCTAGTATATTAAAATGATGAAATTGTTGAGTGCCGGACAAGTGAGAAGGAAGGTGAAGATGGTAGGTGGTAGATGGTGCTGTGTAGGCCGGTCGGAAGTCCGTAATGCGCTTCGCCCGGCAGCAAAATCTGGCAAATGAAACTGAAACTTTGCCGGGCCGGGTGCTGCTGCTGCTGCTGCTGCTGATGATGATGTTAGTCGCAAGTTGGGGCGCAGCTAGGCGCATGTAAATACGAGTACGTCGGGTTCGAGTGCATGTTGAACTAACATTCTCGAAAGCTCTTTCAAGTGTGTGCAGGCTGGGGCAAAAAACTGTGGGCCGCTGCTGACAGAAACAGAAACAGAGGCGGAGCCGGAGATGGAGTCGGAGCCGGAGCCGGAGCTAGAGCCAGATTTGGAGGCGGAGGCAGAGTCGGAGGCTGGGAGTGGCTGTGGCTGTGGCTGCGGCAGTAGCAGAGAATGGTGGCAAAAATCGCTGACTGAATGCAAACAAACATAATTGGATTTCTCTAGTTGCTGCAGAGTATAACCAGGACCCCTTCCAGCCCCTCGAACCATCAATCCGAGGCATACACACACGCGAGCAGTGTAGAGCGGGCCACTGTTAGTTTTTATTTCAATTTGAGCTCACAGGACGGACGTGGACGGACGCGGACGTACCGCGGCAACGGCAACCTGTCCGCCCGACGGGTTGTCTGCTAACAATTTTCCGTTGTGAATATATAGACATTTTGTTCAAAATCCTCGCTTATGCAACATATGTACGGCCGTAGTTGTGTTTTTCTGTGTGTTTTGTTGCCTGTTTGCTTGTTGGTGTGTTGGACGTCCGCAGCCCCGTTCCCATCCCCGTCCGTCCGCCTTTTGGCCTCGTGAGCGCGCATTTTCATTTGTATTTATGCAATTTGTTTGTTTGCCAGCCGGAAAATTCAATACATTGAATACATCCTCCCATCCACATTCTCGTATCAATGGCATATTCTTATCTCTATACTCCTCTGCCGCCTTTGTCCGTGGCAATAATAGAAACGTATTTTCAATTTTGAGAATTACGAGTATTTTCCTGCTTTCCAAACTCCATACGTTTCCATCCGCAGAACCTTTAGGGTAATGGACGATGACGGCAGCAAGACACTCAGCGCCGAGGAGTTTAAGAAGGGAATTTCTGATGTTGGTCTCGACGTTAGCGAGTCGGAAATCTCCGATATGTTCTCGCGGTAGGTGAAGGTCTTCAAAATGAAAAGAAATTCGGAATTATTGTGTGTAATTGTATGTCCAACAGTTTCGATGCAGATGGAAGTGGCACCATCAACATGACCGAATTTCTGGACAAGCTCCGTGTAAGTATTACTTAAAGCCTGGAAGATAATATATAGTATTACCTTGTTTCTAACTTGATTAGCCACCCATGAACGAGGGCCGCTTGAGCATCATCGAAAAGGCCTTTGACAAGATGGACGCCAACGACGACGGGCAGATAACCGAGACCGATCTGATGAATCTGTACTCGGTGAAGGATCATCCCAAGTACTTGAGCGGCGAGATGACCAAGTCAGAGATTCTTCGGGAATTCCTGAAGAACTTTGAGGCCGGAGCCCCGAACCCCGATGGCATTGTTACCAAGGAGGAGTTCATCAACTACTACTCCACCATTAGCGCCTCGATCGACAACGACGCCTACTTCGATCTGGTGATGCGCCGCGCCTACAATCTATAAATTTCCTATAAAGTTTCCTATGCCGTCACTCTCCACTTTCGTCCATATCCCGTCTTGGATGCTTCAGGAGCTTAGACTGAGCTCTGCGCACAAATTTCCACTAAATCCAGTTAAAATACAATGTTGAAATTTAATGTACTCTTAAAGCTACCAGCTACTGCACACGATTGATCAGTCAGCAACAAAGTTCCGTTCAATGTGCTTTAATCGAGAAAGCTTGTCGGGGGGTTGGGGATTTGGCCAACAGTTGGCTGCGCAAATCAGCCGGGCCGTAAACATTTCCATGTCAGTTGAGCCGCTCGCCCCCGACATTGTTCCTCGCGTAGTTTTGGCCAAATAATGCGCTATAATAATTTATTAAATTAAAGCCGCGTGCTAATTAGCATAAAACTAATTAGATTACTTGTACATGTGAAGCCACAAAGCACGGCGTAACACTCACTGAGCAGGCTTGGTGTTGGTTTGGTTTTGGGAGAACGACGGTGGATACGCGGCGTATGCGCAATCGTTGGCTGTGCTTTTGTCGCTTTTAATAAAAGTCATGTTTGCCAAAAAGTCAGGCCATCTAACCAGCGCGCGCGCACACACACACACCCACACATATAGGAGGGTACAAATAAGCCTGATTAGCTTGTGTTTTACTAGGCTGTGTGGGTTGACAAGTGATTGGGCCGACACCGTCGCCGACACCGCTAAACCAAATCATGAACGCCTCTGATTTTATCCAGAGATACATTGCTGCCGGATTCCGATTCCTGGCTTTTGTAGGCTCCCGACTCCGACTCCGAACCCCTCTTAAGCATCTTGAAGATGGAATGGGGCTCACCAAACGCTTAATTATAGGCTTATTAGAGAAGAGGCGATGTACTGGCAATTTGCAAACTCTAATTACATTCATTTCGCATCAGCGATAAGAATCCAGCATCTGATGATGGGCAAACAAGCCGGGACATAATACCCAGTAATATCGGCAACAGCCAACAGCTAGGCAAACGTCTTGGCATGTCCTGATTATGCAGCCAAGTTTTTGTATGCCATGTAGACAATGTTAAAAGTTTGCCCAAGTAATTAAATCACTTCGATCTTTGCTAATTACAAGCCAGGAACATACTCGTACCACATGCGTCTTCCTTCTCCCTCTCAGCCTTCTTCTTTCTGTCTCCTACTCTGCTTCTGGGTGTGTGTGCCTGTGTGGATGTGCAGCTTGCTAGACAAAGCCTGGCATCACCGACAACCTCATCAGGCCAAAGGGCCAACAGCGGTAGCGGCAACAACAATGTTGACAACTTACCTGCCAAATTAATGCAAACATGAAACGTGCGGCTGCGGGAATATTAATTAACTAACTACCTGGGACACTCGCACAAATATCCGCACACAGGCTCGTACACAGCTCTCTCTATACACTGAAAGAACACTGTGCAGCGGAGAAGGCTGTGGGTCCAATGTATTTGGTAAGTATTTTTAATTTGACTGAGCTATTGCTCTCAGTGCAGCCAGGTGCCGGTACCTGCAACGAGGCTGGGAGCACTTCGCCTCCCGTGTGTCCCGAGTGTTGGCAGTTGGCACTTGGCATTGTCAGACTCGAAGACATGTACATTCCCGGCCACATATTTTGCTCTTTCGCAAACTATCTTGATCCCGATCCCTGGCCCCATGAGCCACTTTGTGGACAACGAAAATATTTCGGAAGCTAGTTTTGTGGATGTGGATGCGGATGCCGATGCGGATGTGGCATCTCCTGTCCGCTCCAGCCGCTGCCAAGTGGCGTATGATTAATGAACGTTTCATTAGCGCGGCTCACATTACGTAAAGGTTGACTGGCGCTTGAACTCGACCCCGACCCCGACCCCGGCCCGAAGTACGGCTCTTCCCTATTTACATTTCAGCAGGTTGCCGAACGTGATCACAATATTATCTCTTCATCAGCGAGGTCCTGTCCTGCGCCCTCCTCCTCGCCGTGGCAGGACATTGCAAACATTATGCCGAACAGGGCGCAAAAACTGGAAAAATGCAAAGAGCAAGGTATTCTTTTCCCGGCTCCCTGGCTCCCTAGCTGTCTGTCTGCCAAGTCCTGCTTCAGGCCCAGGACCAGATCCAGATCCGGCTCCGGCTCCTCTTACCGTCTTTCTTGCTGCTGTCCATGGACTGCCATGTTTGACTTCTTTTTGCACGGTTCTCCTGGCTCTTACATGTCGAAGCTTGGAGGCAGCATAAAGTTACTCACGTAGGTCTCTCTCTTCTATGCTCCTCTGCGGTCTGCGTCGAGCCATGTCAGCTGCGCAACTTAACGAGTTACAATGATTTTCGTGCTAATTAAAATGGTTTTTGCATTTAGTTTACCGCATTAGCATTTCGTTTAGCAGTTGAGCAAACACCTGCCTTCGTGTCTGCCCCTCCCCTGTGCCTTGTTTGCGTTCTCCCTGGCCGTATCCGTACCGTATTCTCGTATTCTCGTATTCGTTTCCGTGTCCCAGTGTGTGCGGCATAAATTACGCATACGCAGCGTTACCAGCGTCACTGAAACGAAAACGTTGGCCAAAAAGTCTGTTTGTCGAGCAACACAGATGCGCCTAATGAACTCTGGCTGCGGGCTGCCACCCGCCATTCCACTACCGCATGACTATCTATATCTTTTCCAGCATAGCTTTGGTCTCTTTTGTCAACTGCAACGGTAAGGTCCCCTCCCCTTCTAGTGCCATCTATCCGGGCTGCGGCCTAATTAGATATTTGAGATGTTTTGGCATCTGGCCCTGACTGGGATTGAACTCGTTAGTGGTTTCCAATTACATTTGACTCTACATTCCTATTTCTTGGATGAGAAACTCATCTTCTTGCTTCTTGCCACTTCTTTTTTCCCTGTCGGAATGACAACTTCATTGAAGATTAGTTTCCAGTCCTGCTTCGAATCATAAACCATAAACCAGATACGAGTATACGAGAATATATACATATGTATAGTATCAAAAGCCAACTTCACTAAACTGCTGCACTTACGGCCAAATCTATTCCAAGTTATACTTTCTAAAATGGCTTACACCGTCGCCGTCGCCTCAGGGGCCTGGAGCGGCACATGCTGGCATACGTGGGGGAAAGTTTTTACCACTTCCTGGGGAAGGTGACGAGGACGAAGAGCTAAGCAGGATGAAGTTATTTTTGGCCCACAATAAGCAAATACCAAAAATGCACCTAAGTATTTTCATAGTTTTTATTACCGGGCATTTTATTGTTGCCTTTATTATCCCGGGCCAAGAGAGAGGAAGAAATTGGGGGCAAGGGGGAGAGCCACGATGGCAATGCCAACTCGCATGCTGGACACGTGTAAAAGTTCAGTTTTAAACACTTGCAAACAACAAAATGTTTTCGATTTTTGAAACGTTTTCGCTTTTATTTTATTTTATGAATCCCAGTCCAGAGAACGAACTGTTTCTTCTACGTATGTATAGGTATTGAACGTACGAGTATGTGTGTGTGTGTGCATGTGTGTGCTTCTGAGTAGCACAGAGCAATCCCCAGAGCGAGGGAAACTTTTAGTTTCGTATCGCCCACGTTTACTGTCAATAAAACTTTGCTCGAGCTGGAAAAATGAAAACAGAACGAAAATCCCCACTAAAAACATTCTGAGAGTGTGTGTGGAGGCAACACAAAGATGAGAGGGAACAAACATGGAAACAGCATAGATTATGTTAGTCGGACAAAGGCAGAGAGAGAGAGAGAGAGCATGTCTTATAAAACATGCAAATGCAATGAAATTACACGTTACGTATACGCCCTGTATGTACGCTGCCGTGTCTGTCTCTGTGCCTGTGCAGCATGAAAAATGTAAAGCAAGACGGCAGTGGAGGACAGGAGTTCTACCAGCATCCGAACACCAAAGGATTATGCAAAATTATGCTGGAAAAAAGAGGGGCAACAGCAAAGCGAAAGGCAAATCCACGCACATTAAATTAAAGTGCTTTCAATAAAGTCAAATCGTGACTTTGCCGCTAATGATGAGAACAAAGCGAACAATGTCCCTTGTCCCTGGCTGCAAGTCTCTCAGTGTTTGACAAATTGACTTGCAAATCACTCCTGTTCCTCTTTCCGATTATTATTATTTCTTTCATTTGGTGCGGCGCGGACTTTGCGGACTTTAGGGCCCTGCAAGTATTTCATAATTTTCGATGGGCGTGTCAGTGGAACGGCCGCTGAACGGATGCCGCACTAAAAGCGCACTCAGCTCAAAGACAACCAACGGAAATAGTTGGAAAAGCTAGAAGCAGCAGCCGAAGATGAAACTGCAACAAATCCAAGGAGTACGTGCCACGGGCCAAACAAAACACGCGACCCAGACGAATCATAAGCAGCCGACTGCCACTGCCACTGCCACTGCCACTGCCCCTGCCGGTAGCCCCAGCATCCCCGGCAGCTCCGGAGTTCAGGGCTCGGGCCCCGGAGCTCTGCTTGCCGACAATGACCCGAGACCGCGATGAGGGCCAAAATGAAAGGCCGCAGCCAGACGACCGCCATTTATAGTGAATGGATTTGGATTTTTCGGATTTGCGCACAAGATAATGTGCAGCACTGGCGCTCCACTAAGGGTCTCCTCTTGCTTTGGCCCGTTGAACGTTGCATGTGAGAGGGCTAAGCAGCGGCGGCAGCAGCAGCAGCTCGAATGCAACGGAAATAGTTTTGTGTGAGATTTATTGCCACTCTGGAGAGTCATAAAACGGAAATTGTACACAAAATCCTTTCGGATGCTCGTTTAAGTTGCCAGTAGAATCCCCTCCCTTCGGCCCCCTTCCCTCAGTCCACTTCTGTGTGTGAGGATTTTTATGTGTTGTGTCATTTTTGTTTGCTCTGCCGTGCCCCTGGACAGGACCATCCCAATGTTTATGTAAGTCATCGCTTCGTTTATTCGATGGCCCCAAGCTCCTGGCCCCCGTCCGACTGCAGGGCATATCCTATTTGGAAATTATACTTTTGCACATTTTGTGGAAATGCTTCTAGTCGGTCGCCTGATTTTCTGCCGGCCAGAAATCCTTTGCTTTGCAATTTCAGTTTATTTATTTTATTTACCACCCTTTGAGTGGGTCAAATGCACTGCATTGTCCACTCCACCGTCACTCTCTTTCTCTCTCTATCTGCCTGGTGTACTCGTAAATTTCCATGGCACTCGCATTTGTCGCCGAGTCAGAGGAGGAGGT